GACGCCCCGCTCCCACAGCTGGTGGCCCAAGATGAGACGCCCCACTCCCACAGCTGGTGGCCCAAGATGAGACGCCCCACTCCCACAGCTGGTGGCCCAAGATGAGACGCCCCACTCCCACAGCTGGTGGCCCAAGATACCGCGATTTACTAGATGCAAACCCTGCCCCACAGTACATAATTCCGAGATGAAATACTGACCAGAAATCCTTCCTCCAATAATTGGAAATATTGAGTATGTATGTGTGTATGCATATGTATTCGGGTATATATGTATAGGTGTATGTATGAATAACTCGTAAACAATAATAATAAAGAGCCTTAAACAGAACAACATGTGTGGAAGCATCAGTGTGTATATATGAATGCTACACAGTATTCATCTATAGACATCCATATATGGTGGAACACATGTGAAGAACCTCTCACACACTCACAGCTCCCTGACAAGAGGGAGCCAGCTTAGCTTAGCTGCCAACACCCACACATGGTGTCAGCAAGGCGGACAGCCCGCCTTCTTTCATACCTCTCACTGTATTTCCCACTTCTATACTTCCCTTCACCTATGACTCTCCTCCCCCCCCCCCCTCTTCCTCCTCCCACGTTCCGCCTTGAGCCTGAGGAAACACCTCACATCAAACAAACATCAGGATAGTCTTGGAGCCCAATAGGCTCAAGAATCTGTACACCAGTTGATTGACAGATTGACAAGCGGGACAAGAGCTAGAGCTCAACCCCGTCAAGCACAACTAGGCGAGTAGGAAATACGTTTTATCAAGACAGAATCTGAACAAGAATTCAGAAAGTATTGGACAAAATATTCGAATAAACGCTGATGAAAATGTCGACTTTTGTCCCGTCAGAGAGACATTGTGGTTCTCATTTAAGTCAGTGACTATCTTGAGATGATTTCGGGGCTTTAGTGTCCCCGCGGCCCGGTCCTCGACCACCTGTGACAGCGACAGACAGGTGACTCCCAGTAGACAGACATTTGCATGAGTAATAGTAGTAGGCATCCATCAGTCTCAGGCGACTGTGGAGTCGCGCTCTGGTTGTCGGTCTGGAGTGGCCGCTCCAGGGCACAAAGCCTGGGTAGGTTGATACGGAGGAGAAGCTGTTACCCATGCAGCATGAGTGAGTGCCACTTCACTCCACACAAGGCACTGGGCTATTAGCAAATTTTACAAATTAGTATTAACTGGCCTAGTGATAGCAGTCCACCAATATACACGAATGTTAAATGCGGCACTTGTATCTGAACTGCTCCCTACATGCCCCAGACCTGCCACTGTCAGTTTGATCACTAAGCCGAAAATTAAAGACCAATTTCCCTTCTATAGCGAACTATTCAAAACATTAACCAGCGAGAAGAGCCCAAGACTTCAACACTCTCCTTGTAGACATAAGGGGTAAGATTCACGAAGCAGTTACGCAAGCACTTACGAACCTGGGGCCAGATTCATGGAGCAGTTACGCAAGCACTTACAAACCTGTCTATCTTTCCTCAATCTTTGGCGGCTTTGTTTACAATTATTAAACAGTTAATGAGCTCCGAAGCACCAGGAGGCTGTTTATAACAATAACAGCAGTTGATTGGGAAGTTTTCATGCTTGTAAATTGTTTAATAAATATAACCAAAGCCATCAAAATTTGAGGAAAGATGTACACGTTCGTAAGTACTTGCGTAACTGCTTCGTGAATCTGGCCCCAGGTTCGTAAGTGCTTGCGTAACTACTTCATGAATCTGACCCCATATTTTATGTTAAAGCCTGACCCCAACCGGCTATCGTATCACTACTGTAAAGTTGAGATGTAGGGTGAGGACAAGTTCAGGACAAGTTAAACACGTGGGCAGTAATGACCACTTGAAGCGGATTCCTTGGAGGTAGTTATACTACCACCCAATCACAGCTGCTAACTGGACTAGTGACTAACTGGTCCAGTTAGGCCTGTAGTCACCTAATTGTACTCACCTAGTTATGCTTGCGGGGATTGAGCTCTGCTCTTTCGGCCCGCCTCTCAACTGTCAATCAACTGTTACTAACTACTATTTTTTTTTTTTTTTTTTCACACACCCCAAGAAACAGCCCGTGACAGCTGACTAACTCCCAGGTACCTATTTACTGCTAGGTAACAGGGGCATAAGGTGAAAGAAACTGCCCATTGTTTGTCGCCAGCGCCGGGAATCGAACCCGGGACAACAGGATCACGCGTCCAGTCAGCCACCGGCTCCCCCCTGTGTGTGTGTGTGTGTGGTGGTGGAAAGCGAGGATGACAGACCAGAGGAGTGTGCCGCCAACACTCATCTGCCACTTCCCAGAAAGTCGGCCACAGTTCTCCGTTGTTGAAGACCCTGTTGGGGGTCTTCTCCTTCCTTATCCAAGATGGCCTGGGGTCAGGGGGCGTCGACGGAGTGGGGTCAGGGAGTGTAGACGGAGGGGGATCAGGGGGCGTCGACGGAGGGGGGTCAGGGGGCGTCGACGGAGTGGGGTCAGGGGGCGTCGACGGAGTGGGGGCAGGGGGGCGTCGACGGAGTGAGGTTTAACAAGTTTATCTAAACTTATTACACAATTTCATAACTTGAAATCGAACCGAAGACCCAGGAATATAAAAAAAAAAAATACGGTACGGTACATCGCTAATTGTGCAAGTTGTTGTGATTTTGAGTACGTCAATTTGTATTTTTCTCGAATGTACTATCATTCGTAGTACAGTACTATGATTCGGAGTACGTGTTGAACAGCCTTACTAAACCAGTTCATCTTCAGCGCTTATAATGTTTGTTTTCCGATGAGTTGTTTTTAAAACGAGTGGCTGAGAAGAATTATACATGTGTGGAGAGTTTTTGGTGAGGCTATGACAACTGAGGGAGGGGGGTTGGGGGAGAGTTGTGGGGTTGGGGGGTGTTGTGGGGTTGGGGGGTGTTATGGGGCTGGGGGGGGGGTGTTATGGGGCTGGGGGGTGTTGTGGGGTTGGGGGAGTGTTGTGGGGGGGGGGGGAGAGAGTTGTGGCAGTCTAGCCTAGTATCTTGTTGTCGCCACCGTGATGATAGCGGCTTTCCGGGGAATGCCCAGACTATTGTCCCCCCCTCTCACGCGCACTATACTGCCTGCTCACCTCTCACTATCCTCACAGTACTCCCTGATCACCTCACCGTCCTCATAGTACTCCCCGATCACCTCACCGTCCCTACTCCCAGGGAGAACTGTTCTCACAATACTCCCCTGGTTACCTCACCGTCCTCCCTAGTCACCTCTCACTATCCTCACAGTACTCCCTGGTCACCTCACGGTCCTCACCTCACGGTAGGTTTACACTCTGGTGTCCTTAAGTTCTTAATTATATTTCCTTAAAACGTCTAACCCATATTTACAGTTAAGGGTGAGGTGGTACTCGCTACTCTCCCACGGACCCGACGGTACGTTTTCAAGGACCCGCTTGATATCACTTTAAAGGAGGAACAAGATGCGATTGTTTACTTCTCAGTGGGGAGAAGGACGTGTAAGGCATGAGGGAAGAGGATGAGAGAGAGAGAAGGGGGAAGGGAGAGGGGAGGAAGTTAGTAGGGAGAGGAATAGAAAATGTGGGATCAGAACAAGAGGAGAGGATGGAATGAGGATTAGGAGTAGGAGGATAAAGGTGTAGACAGATGACTAATGCTGCCACCATCCTGTCTTAATGAGATCTTAAAATTATATACAGCAATGTGACAGGAAACTCTGCATTACTGAGAGATTTCTTCTTTTGATATCGCTTACTGACAGTATGTTAAACAGTCTGATACTGGAGAATTTGGGAGCTTCAGGTGTCCCCGATGACACACATGGGAGACGACAAAGGGAGGGGGGGGGGAGACCTAATGATACAGTGACACATAACAATATCAAGAGTTTATCAAGTCAAAATTATGATATCCACCCAAAATCATAAGTCCCTATCCTACAGTGGCAAATGGTAAGCAATTTAGACATGGAACGATATATCAGAGATCACTCCCCACACACACTCCTCACTCCCCACACACTCCCCACACACACTCCCACGCACTCCTCACTCCCCACACACTCCCCACACTTGCTCTCCTTAGAAGTAGCCAAAATCATAGAAAATCAGCTGCTACATAATTTGTGGACATTGAATGTGTGTACTAGTAACTAGTGTTTTTATCTGTTGTTGACCTCCGCAGAGAACAGTTGGCTGTTCTCTTAGTCGTCGTGTGGACACAAAGTCGGGTTGGCCACTTGGGGCCTTACAGTAAATATTGTTTTCTGAACTAATTGTATTTTATATTTTCAGTGTGGTGATTTTCTTGTAAATAGTGCAGTGGTTGGGCGTGTGTACTCGTCTAGTTGTGCTTGCCGGGGTTCAGCTCCGGCTATTTAAGCCCGCTTCTCAACTGCCAATCAATCAATTCCCCCCCACACACCCCTTTCCCTCCTCCCCCCCCCCTACTCCAGGAAGCAGCCCGTAGCAGCTGTCTAACTCCCAGGTACCTATTTACTGCTAGGTGAACAGGCGCATCAGGACCCACACATTTAGAAAGGTAGAAGAATTAACCTAGTGAGGAGTACGGGTGCCATATGCACCTTCAGGCAACTGTGAAGACCAGGGGCCAGATTCACGAAAGCACTTACGAACCTGTACATCTTTTCTCAATCTTTGGCGGCTTTGTTTCCAATTATTAAACAATTAATGAGCTGCGAAGCACCAGGAGGCTGCTTATAACAATAGTTAATTGGAAAGTTTTCTCATGCTTGTAAACTGCTTGGTTACATTTATTAAAGCCGTCATAGATTGAGGAAAGGTGTACACGTTCGTAAGTGTTTGCGTAAGTGCTTTCGTGAATCTGGCCCCAGAGGTCCTGGCTGCTAGTAGCTTGTTGAACGAGTTAGTTGATGGTTGCGTGTTCCACACAGACGTGGGCCAGCGGTGTTGCTGGCGGAACTTTGAGCGAGTGGATCATTACGTATGAGGCGAGTAACACAGGTTTCATGTCCGCAGGTTGGAGACACGCGTCCGAGTGAGTGGGGTGCCCGTACATGCGCGCCAGGAGGAGCTCGAGCGCATCCTTCGCAGTGTGGGCGACGTGGAGAAGTGTGAGAAGTACGCCTCTAGGGATGGTCACACCCAGGTGAGTCTTCCCTCTCAGGGCTGTGGTCGTGGGGTCGCCCCTCGCGTTCACAGCTGTGGTCGTGGGGTCGCCCCTGGCGTTCACAGCTGTGGTCGTGGGGTCGCCCCTGGCGTTCACGGCTGTGGTCGTGGGGTCGCCCCTCGCGTTCACAGCTGTGGTCGTGGGGTCGCCCCTCGCGTTCACAGCTGTGGTCGTGGGGTCGCCCCTCGCGTTCACAGCTGTGGTCGTGGGGTCGCTCCTCGCGTTCACAGCTGTGGTCGTGGGGTCGCCCCTCGCGTTCACAGCTGTGGTCGTGGGGTCGCCCCTCGCGTTCACAGCTGTGGTCGTGGGGTCGCCCCTGGCGTTCACAGCTGTGGTCGTGGGGTCGCCCCTCGCGTTCACAGCTGTGGTCGTGGGGTCGCCCCTCGCGTTCACAGCTGTGGTCGTGGGGTCGCCCCTCGCGTTCACAGCTGTGGTCGTGGGGTCGCTCCTGGCGTTCACAGCTGTGGTCGTGGGGTCGCTCCTGGCGTTCACAGCTGTGGTCGTGGGGTCGCTCCTGGCGTTCACAGCTGTGGTCGTGGGGTCGCTCCTGGCGTTCACAGCTGTGGTCGTGGGGTCGCCCCTCGCGTTCAGGGGCCAGATTCACGAAAACACTTACGCAAGTACTTACTAACCTGTACATCTTTTCTCAATCTTTGGCGGCTTTGTTTACAATTATTAAACAGTTAATGAGCTCCGAAGCACCAGGAGGCTGTTTATAACAATAACAACTGTCTATTTGTCTATCTGTCTATATCAGATATGAGAAACAGTTGAATGGAAAGTTTTCATGCTTGTAAACTGTTTCATAAATGTAACCAAAGCCGTCAAAGATTGAGGAAAGGTGTACACGTTCGTAAATATTTGCGTAAGTGCTTTCGTGAATCTGGCCCCAGAGCTGTGGGGGGGTAGGAACTGTAGGAGGATGGGGTTGGCTGTGTGAATCAGTACAACAATTCTGATGACAGTGTATAAAATATATTATATGTTAATTACATTTTACAATTACAAGAACTGAAGTCGCTATAGAAAACGGTAACACAAGTCAGTTTTGATGAGAGATTTGCTGTTGTTGAAGAGCATAGAGAGGTAATCAGTGGTCCAGCAGCGTAGAGAGGTAATCAGTGGTCCAGCAGCGTAGAGAGGTAATCAGTGGTCCACCAGCGTAGAGAGGTAATCAGTGGTCCAGCAGCGTAGAGAGGTAATCAGTGGTCCACCAGCGTAGAGGGGTAATCAGTGGTCCAGCAGCGTAGAGAGGTAATCAGTGGTCCAGCAGCATAGAGAGGTAATCAGTGGTCCAGCAGCGTAGAGAGGTAATCAGTGGTCCAGCAGCATAGAGAGGTAATCAGTGGTCCAGCAGCGTAGAGAGGTAATCAGTGGTCCAGCAGCGTAAAGGGTTGCTAATGGAGTGCCGATCTTTAAAAGGCAGATCGATCTGTTCCCCTGTAACTACCTACCAATTAGCCTTGTATCAATTGCAGGGTTTGGTTTGGTGTCGGGTCTATCAACCGCAGGATGGTTACAAAGGTCACCACAATACCTCACTGATCGGACATGGTGGAGAACACTTTCAGAGAATATATACAGAGAAAATGGGTATACAACTGTATTAAAGGGAAAATTGCTGGAAGTATTAACAACTAATATTAAATGTGAGAAATAACTTGATGACTAATGCATGTATTCACTAATGGGCGCTCATGCCTTACAAATTTTAATTCCTTTTTTATACAAATGAAGTAGTCAGAATTGTGTGTAATTAACCATAACATTATCAAGGCATTTGGCATGTGCTAGACACGACGCATTACTCGGGAATATAGGAACTCAGGTACCGCAGCCAACATTCCATATTGGATAAGGGCGAGGATATCAAACGGTAAACAAGGAAAATGGTTTAAAAAGTACATTCAGTGCAGGAAAATATATAGAAACAATAGCGTTAAATGTTGAAAAACAACCTGGAACTTTATAAAACGTACAATTAACTATTTGGCGGATATGAGTTTGTATGAAACATTGTTGTTAATTACGATAGAATAAATCCAAATGAAGAGCCACAACTAATGGCTCGTACCCCCAAGGCTCTGTCCTGGGGCCTCTATTCTTCTGAAAACAAAAAAAAAATTATCTTGATTTTTTCCCATTGCACTGAGAATATTTAAAAAAAAAATTGTTTTATTATTTATTAGCAAGCTTAGGTATACACAGCAATGTGCTGCTACCTTGTTCTATATGAAAAATTACACAGTGAAGATACAAAAAACTAGGTATAAGTTCATTTAATATTCCTATCTCAGCGGATGGTTAGTCATACATGTAATCAGGAGAGAAAATTATCATTACCTCATTATCAAAAATATATTAAATTTGACTAAATAATAACTTTATGATTTTCATAAGAGCTAAGCTCAGAATCATGGAAATATTTTAATTATTTTTTACCAGTTTCTATAAGATTCATCTCAATTTTTTTTTTAACAAGCTTAGGTATACACAGCAATGTGCTGCTACTCTTATTATGTATGATAGATTACACAGTGAATGCTTCTTAATGTGCATTTTTTTTATCATGGTACTCTAATGGAGCAATATGTATAATTAGAAGTGTAAAATAGAGTCAATGAACAGTTGGGGTTCCATGAGCACCTTGCGAGAACTTTGTGATTGGGAATAGGCATCTGAGGCCCATGGATTTTTCTTACCAGCCAATAAAATAAATATTTCCAGAATAAATATTACTTTTCAAGTAGGCTGCGGGAGTGGAAATGTTTTCGTAACCAGTCACAGGTGTTAAGTTGTGTATGTTATTTAGGTTAAGTAATATGTAACTGGAGTGATAAAGTAGGAGCTTGGGTACGATTATTATGACAATAAAATGCATCTTTTTCTTTTTGAGATATATACAAGAGTTGTTACATTCTTGTAGAGCCACTAGTACGCGTAGCGTTTCGGGCAGGTCCCTGGAATATGATCCCCGCCGCGAAGAATTGTTGTTACAACCAAGTACACATTTTACTGTTGCGTTGAACAGAGGCTACAGTTAAGGATTTGCGCCCAGTAAATCCTCCCCGGCCAGGATACGAACCCATGACAAGGGATAGAGTAGCTTAGGCTACTTCTACCCCCGTCCCCCGTAGGAGTCTGTGTATGGTGGGTCCACCTGGATGTGAAGCGTGATTATCTGTATCTAAAAGATCAGTTGGTGAGCCTGTCATGTGCCGCCGTAACCTTTCCATCTGCACCACCGCTCCCATGGATGGGTTTAGGGTGCATAATAAATTAATTGAAGCAAGGAACGACGGCTGAGTGGACAGCGCTTGGGATTCGTAGTCCTAAGGTTCCGGGTTCGATCCCCGGCGCAGGCAGAAACAAATGGGCAGTTTCTTTCACCCTGATGCCCCTGTTACCTAGCGGTAAATAGGTACCGGGGAGTTAGACAGCTGTTACGGGCTGCTTCCCCGGGGTGTGTAACAAAAAGGAGGCCTGGTCGAGGACCGGGCCGCGGGGACGCTAAGCCCCGAAATCATCTCAAGATATAACTAGATATTACTAGAACAACTAGAACAACCCTTCTCAGGCTAGTAGCTTCGTAGAAACTGCAGCAAAGCTCAAAGTTCACATAGTAACATTCTGTATTATTGAATCTCGGGTTGGTTATGTATTTTGGTTCTGTTGACAATTTATTTTGTATTTTCAAATACAAAAAAATGGCTAAAACGGAGCGAAGGCCGTGCCACCTCTTGGGTGGCTTAATCTTTATCAATCAATCAATCTGGCGTCTCTCTCACAGGAGACGGCTGTAGAAACCACGGGAGACATCTCCCGTCACGTAGGGTGCAGTCGCACCTCCACAGATCTCCAGTATCATTTATTGATACTGGTGATGGCTCAAAAGGGCCACCACTTACGGGCTATTCATGCCCGTGCCACCTTTTGGATGGCTTAATCTTCATCAATCAATCAATCGGAGCGAAGGGTGGGGGGGGGGATGGTGGATTGACTGACCATAGAATTAATATTATGATGATAGGCTGCGGTGGATGAACTATTTGGCTTCTAAGATATCCGGCCAGTAAATGTGTAACTAAAATAATCATAATTAAATACGTACGCCACCGCCATGTTGAATTCAGGCGCGTCTAGTTACAGACTAAAAGTGTAATGTGATTATTTACGCGCTTCTGTAGATGTCTAGACCAGCGGTCTTGACTCAATCGAGAATTGGGGGTTCGAATCCAGGGTGGGACAGATATGGTTGGGCGCATTTCCTTTCAGCTGATGCCTCTGTTCACCAGGGAGTGGGTACTCAGGACTTAGCCAGTTGTGGGGTTACATCCTGGGCGGGGTCAGTAATTTTAAGCTCGATATAAGCCTAACGTGTATGAATACACACTGGGTGCCTGTCCCCCCGACACAATGAATTATTATTATTAATATGGATGTTAAACCGGACCAAATTAACTACTTAATTTGATGATTTATGCTAATATTAACTGCGTGTGCACGGCTTGTCAATGCTTAATGTGTTAAAGCAGTTCAGCAGAGGTTTTATTTAAAGTTTCAAGACAATTTTCGACTTGGCTATAGTACTGTTGAGAGTTTAATCACATAATAGCTATATAAGCTATAGCTATATAATAGTTGATACATTATATAACGAATCAACATTAACTGATGCCAACTACATATACACATTTTGAGCACATGGAACATACGAGTATGAGGATAATAGTACAGTGAAACAAGTTTATTTAAATGATTGCTGTAATTTACTCTATAACTTTGTTATATAACGGATATTAAACCCACCATTTTCAAATATTAAAAATTTAAACACTATTGGTCCCACTTTAGCGTCAAGGAAACTTCCGGCTTCCTCAGCTCTAAATAAATCCGGCTAGGCAGTAGGCCTAATATTGTATACCTAAATTCGTAGTTTATTGTAAACCTTGGCCGGTTAATTTATTAGTTTACCTCGT